CTGTCAACTGGAGATTTTACCATTGCAAATCCGAGCACTTGGCACCTCTGGCAACAGCCAAAACCGAAAATCAAGCCATGAAGGGGGGGGGAGGGGGAATAACGACTCGGAGCGAACTTACAGAAAGAATCGGGGGCGAAATTATCGTGTCCATGAAAAACCAGGGACATTTTGTGCTGTTCTGTACCACCTCGTGATGTTCACGTTCCATGTCGGGCCTGAGCACAACCTACCATGCGCAATACAGTCGAATGACTTTTACATTTGAACTGTTGTCAGAAGGTTTTTTGTCGGCTGCCCCCTGTGTTTTCTGAACGTCTATGTGCAAGGAAATTTCCTGCGGGGTATTTTCAAGTTACTGAACAGAGGTAGAATGTCCTTACCCCGAGCTCACGTCGTTGGTGAGAACTTCGCACGTGAATCGAAGACGGGTCGCGACGGCGTCCGTGGGCCCACCGCACATGTCCAAAACGCATCCTGTGATACCCACAGCACCCAGCAAAGCATCCACCGCCTCAGGCGAAGTTCAGTACCTATCAAGCCACCGACGCTTCAGGTGCGTTTGAGGTTCAGGAGCACCAACCCAACCCTTGGCATGGTGAGGCGTCCGAACTGCCTTGCGCGCTCGCCGGTCTTTACTCCGGTCCTTGCTAGCCCTTTGCTCGTGCTTTTTGTACAGCTGCAGCAAGCAAGCAGGTCGTCTGCACAGTACGAGGGTGATCACGCCTAAGTTCCCCTCGTTCAAGGCCGGAAATTGGTTTGAGATGCCGACCTCGTCTACGAAATCCCGGACTTGGCTGCTGGTCCTTGCCCGCATGTGTCGGAAGGCAGATTCTTCTCCTCCACTGAGGCATGCGGTACAACGGGTCCCAGTTGCCGACATAGGAATACAACCTGTTCAGGATCGGTGAACACAAACCGATAGTGGTTAAACTAAACCAAGAGTGTTTTGAAGAGTGGTAAGGAGTGCAGCATCACCACTTCATAGCTTACGCGGCCGGTGCCGCAGCACCGACTCGCGACCGCACGCAGCAGCTGTGTCTGTTGAGGAAGTTCCGCCGCGTTATAAGGCACCGGTGCGCGAAGCTCTGTTTCGGCTTTCACAACGCAGATCCAAAATTCCAGCAACGATATATCAGGTCTATGCTCTTATCGATCACTCCAGTGTCCGAGCGCTGGTCCATTTGGTCAACTCTACGGGGGGTCAACTTGTCGTCAAAGTTCGCCAAACAGAGCGGCGGAACAACGGTGCGTAAAACAGGCCGCCAGACGGCTTCAGGCCAACGACTCGGTTTTCTCCCACCCAAGGACAATATTGCCAAATCAAAAGAGTCACGCATGTACTATGTGACGTTCCTGAACCTGATGCCGAGTTTCACTTCCGTCCTCCACCTGAGCGTCGAGTACTGCTGGTGCTGAAAAGCAGTCTGACAAGCGCACCCGGCGCACGCAGAGGGGCTACGCAGAAAGTATTTTTTAACCCTCGGTACCTGGTCTCCTTTCAGGCCTGTTTTTTTTTATTTTTCTATGGCAGCAACACGTGTGCGCGGTGCATCTGCAATCAGAGTTCTCGTTGCTTGGGCACAGCACAGCAGACAGGCAGAGGAATCACGAGCCAAAATATGTTGGCCGCGGGGCGTTCTATTCCTGCGGCGACAGCGGTTCGCCGTACCGCTGCTGCGAAGAGCGCCAGCGCTTTCGTTTTGAAAGCTCGTGTCGCTCCTGGCCGCCGCCGCCCCTCTTTCAGAACGCTATCCACTGAGGGCACAGGCACGCCCGGCACGGTAGCCGGTGCCCGAGCTACGGCGTCTTCTGGTGGGTTCTGTTGCCGGGCTGCTGTTGATGCCGCCTGTTGTACTTGCTTGCGTTCACGTGCGATAGACTTGAGCAGCACACCCGAGGGTGTGTACGACCTTACCCGCTGCATGATAGACCTTCGATTCCAATGTAGTCATACCCAACGCCTCTGCTGCACTGCTGTTGGACTATCCGGAAGCGGAGCAAGTTCAGCTCAGCATGACGTTCTGGGCGCAAGTCCGGCGTGTGTCGATTGTTTCCACACTTGTCGAGGATTGGTTTGCGTTCCATTGCACGTGCTTGGCTACGAGCTGATGAGTAGTTTCGCCATCCCCTGCTCCCTTCTAGTCGAGTTCGAGTTTCGGATGCATGTTCGAAGAATGCACGTTGTACTTGTAGTTTTGGCAGCAACCCTCAGCTGATCTGCTAAAGCTACTGCAGTTAGAGACAGAGGAGCACGCGTGCGAAGGTACAGGTTCAAAACATGGAGTCATTTTCAGAATACCATCGACGGTTGCAGTGGACCCTATTTGAGGCTCCGCTACTCTTTAAGAAATTGCTCCCGGTGTGTCTGCAAGCATCTATGTACAAGTAGCACGGAAGAGTGCACCGACCGATCCAACGGCAACCACCGCTCACGAAACTGCAACCGGCAGTGTTGTTCATGACCGTGGCACCAACAGCCGTCGGGTAGCAATTAAGCACCCATCATACCCGATCTCTCCCTTGGACCTCTCATCATCTAGTAGGCTCGTTGCCAGCTAGCACGGCGGCCTCTCGGGCTGGATCGGGCAGCTCGTCGTAGACGTAAAAGATGCGTTTTTTTCCTCCGCGTAAACTGGCTCTCTTTTGGACACCGGAAGGTTGTATACAAAGTTCTTGTTGCTTGCTTGTGTACATGAACATCTGAAGACGGAGGTATCGTGCAACCTGACGGCTACAGTCGCGCTATTTTCTGCCTTACCCCCTCTCTTCCCCTACCACAACCCTCTGCCAATGTTTCCGCTCTCTTTGCCTTTTCCCCACAGGCGCAGCGCCAGCGTCCCCTGTCGTTGGCGGCGGCAGCGGCAGCGGGGGCGGGGGTGGAGGTGGGGGCGGGGGGGGGGGATCCGGCGTGGGTGGGGCGGCCGCGCGCCTGTTGGCGGGAGCTGTGGCCATCGTGGGCGTGGACTTGTTGGCTTACGCCAAGATTCCGATCGTTAAGGACGCGGTGGACCACTACCTGTCCGGTCCACTGCCGCCCGAGGTGTACGACCTTTATCGCAGGCGAGTCGCGGAGGGGGAAGGACTCATGTTTTTGCGTACCCTAGCGGCTAGACCACTGACCACGCGCGTCCTCCAGGGGACGGGGCGTTGTTCCGGCAGGAAAGCTCAACGTTCCTTCCTACTCATACCAACGGTGACTCAAAACGGGGGAGGTGCGGAGGCGAACCGAAGATTGCGGGGGGTTACTTTCTCCGTGGTGCAGCAGGGTGTTGACAAACACCAACGAAGGCTTCGCAGCAGCAGCTCGTGGCGGTGCACGCACGGTCGCGCATCACACTTGGGGGGGGATAGTTTTCGTACGTTCTCCGGGAATGTTTGTCTCCCCATGCCTTGTGCGCGGGCGATCTCGAGACACGCACGGTCGCGCACCACCCTTGGGGGGGATAGTTTCGTACGTTCTCCGGGTATGTTTGTTTCCCCATGCCTTGTGCGCGGGCGATCTTGAGATAAGAATGGAGGCAGGAGCACGCCGGCCGAGTTTCCAGTCCCACTGCACTTCTCGACGCCTTCCATGATTCTTTCGTTCGTCTCCTCCCCACCCCCCCCCATCCGGCAGGTGCGGTATGCATGTGACGTACCCCCCAGGAAAGGGCACGCCCACGAGGGAAGGTAAGATGAGGGAGTCAGCACGGAGGGGTGGTGCCTACCAAGTATCAATTACAACAGCATCTATACAACGTTGTTTGATGCGGACGTAACGGGACGGCTTGCTACCCCTCCTCATGCTAAGCAAATTTCCTGCAGTTGAGAACTTCTATGTGAGCAGCCGATTTTCGACACATACACGCTAGGAGGGGATCCCGTCGGGAAGAGTCACCCCCTCCCCGCCCGCGCCCGCCCTTCTTGAGTCCCTCACGCGGTTCTTAATTCCAACCGAAAATACCTCGGGTCGAAATCATGAAGAGCTACGGGTAGAGAGACAAGGTTGTGTCGTGGTTTTGCCGCCACGCGATTGCCACTGTGCCGCCGCGAAGCTGCAGCTTGTTTTTGGGCCCGGGAAAACTGATGGTGCAAAGGTCTCCTTCCTGGTGTTCGAGTTCTGCGGTGGCCTGGCTATCAGCGTTCGCGCCATCGCCTTCGTCCCCTCTTACTTGTCTCAAGCACACACTGCCTCCGCGACTCTCTCTCTCTCTCTCACACTCTCTCTCGCTCTCGCTCTCGCTCTCTCTCGCCTGCTTGGGAAAAAGCGTGGGACTTCGGGTTGACCAAGAGGGCCACCGACAAGGTGCGGCAACTATCCCCTTTCAGCCGCGGCGACAAGTCAGCGAAGTCTGAAGAGGTGTGTGAAATCCAGTCCTTTGCATGTCGAGGTCCCTGTGTTCCAGGGCGCGTGTTTTCGGGCCCCTGTTGGCCCGACACTCCTGTTTCACAGGTCGTTCGTAAAACGTGATTCACGCAAGACAAAAACTAGACTAGCACATCCAAAAACGGGAAACGACGCGAGACGAAAGTAAGCGGAATACAAGCAAGACGTGGTGCTTGGATGGGCTATGGAAGCATTGCCCGCCGGCCCCCGTGGGGCCGGATCGGCGCCGCACACCGCGCTGCCATAGTGTGCGACGAAACGTCGCTTCCTCCTTTGGCTGGCTATGCTCGCGATATTTTTTTTAATGGATAATTCCCTTCTCCTTGTTTTCTGTTTGGTGATCTTTGAGCTGTCCTTTGTCGAGCGTCAAGATATCGCCGCGCTCTGCTAATGTCTTGCTGCGAAGCATTTCATTGGCAACAGGGAGGGTTGTGGTTATCTTGCCACCGCTCTCAACTGCTGCCCAGTCGCCCCTACACCCCGATCAACCGTGCGAAGCGGGAACATGGCATGCCACCGGGAAGAGAAAAATTCCTCCCTTGATTTTGCGGTTTCGTGGGTTGAACTTGTCGCAAGATGATAAATTGGAGTGAATCGGGGCGCTGACTTAAGTCTGTCTGGCGTTTTTGTCGTTCCTGTGGTCGCCGTCTCTGTTGCGTCCGCCGGCTGCCGATGCGTGTCTTCCCCGGCGACCAGTTCACGTCGAGTGGCTTCGAGGTGAGCAAGCACGGGAAGGTACTTCTTGAGGCTCGGCGCACTCATTCTTCTTGTTTTAAGTTTCTGCCTCTCGCGTTTTCCTGGGAGCAACGAGTGACATTTGTTGTACTGCAATTGCCACCGAGAAACGGTCGCGTGCCTTGTTTTCCTGTTGATGCCTTTGGGTGTAGTCTGCAGCGCGAACGGTGGGGGGCGGGACAGGCTTGTGGCACCCTCAGTTGGTGACTCATGGTAACCGCAATCCAAACAACCTTGGTCATTGTAAACGGCAAATGACAGCAATGGTCAATGTGCAAACCCTTCTCAATCCCATCCCGTCGTTTTTCGTACACCTAATGTTTTGTTTCGCCCTTTTGTGCCGACGTATGTGCCGCGCGTATCGTTGTAACGCCAGGTCGGCACGTCTGGGCTCAACAAGGGTTTCTCCGTCTCGACCTCTCCTCCAGAAGGCAACAGCAGCAGCAGTAGAAGCAGCAGCAGCAACGATAAGGGCAATAGCGCGTTGGATACACCTCACCAACCCGCGGCGTGGGAAGACACAGCTGCGGCGGATGGGGTGGTAGAAGCGGCGTCCTCCTCCGCCCCAGAGTGGAAGACCGGCGCCATCGCCAGCGGCGACGACAGTGGCAGCACCAGCCTGTCGGATTTCTTGGGTGACGATTTCGAGGTCGATGTAGAAGATACGGCCATGGCGGCAGCAATGATGGAGGCAGGGGCTTCTCTGACGGGGGAAGGGGAATCGTTTAGCCGCGAAAGCGCGACCGCGGCGGCGGAGAAGAAGGGCGAGGAGGGGGAGGAGGGTGCTACCGACGAGTTGGAATCCTCGGGTGTTTCGAGCTTGGTCACGGACGGTGGGGATGCCGCGGTGAGAGAGGCCGAGGCACTGTTGAAGGAGGCCGAGGCGGCCGCGGCGTTTGCCGCTGACTACGCCGCCGCTGCCGCCTCCGCCGCTGGCGACGCCACGTCGTCCATCGAGACCCTTTCGGCCGGAAGCAGCGACGAGTCTAGCGGCGACGAGCTTGCTTCGTCCCCTGAACGGGACGACCCTGCCTCCGCCTCTGTCGAGCACGCGGAGGTGTCAGGAGAAGAGGTTGGCGAGGGGGAGGAGGGGCTAGCGTCACCGTCTGCGCTGGCCGCGCTGCAGGAGAAGGAGAGGCGGGACGCCGAGGCGAGGGAGGAGCTCGACGGCACGAAGCGCCGCATCAGGAACGAGGCGCTGTCGTCAGTGGCGGAGGAAATGGAGGTGGCCTCCGCTGGCCTCAAGAGGGAGCTGGAGCAGAGCATGCTCAAGGTGAGGCTTTCGGGAGAGGGAGGGTGCGGCCGGGGGGAGAGATGGGCCTCGAGCGGTGGTGGGATCGACAGGGAGGTATGTAGACATGAGTAGACTCTGGGGAGGGTCGGTGAGTGTGGCTTGGAGTGGGCAGTTTTTTTTTTTGCTGTGGCGCTCTGGGTGCGGGGGGGGGTGATGCAGCATTTGAACGATTTTTTCTCACTTCTTGGTGATGGGTGACGTGTGTCGAGAATATTGAGGTTCCCACCCACCGTCTGCTGGTGTTGCTTTTGATGTAGTGCACCTCCAATCAGTGTTGTAGGGCGGCTCTTGTGAAGTATGCGAGCGGGTTGTTGGCCTCGAAAGAGGCTCCACGGTCAACGGTCAGCCGAGGCCAGCGAGAATCCCCCCCCCCCCCCCCCCCCCCCCCCCCCNGAAGACGACGAGTTCAAATGTGATTGCGGCTTCGAATGCGAAGACCGTGTTCATGTAGTCGCGGAATGTCCGTTGTGCAAGAAATAGAGGGAAGTGTACGTGACTGAGCTGGGAAAATAGATGGGACGTACAGGGAGATGTTTGAGGCATGGAATAGAGAGGAAGGACGCTAGCTGTACTGGGGCGTAGCAGGTGGGTTGACAAGGCGGGAAGGGATATCGTTAGGATAGACAGACTAGGGAAGACATTTTTGAGCCTCCTTTGGCAAAGTAGAAAGGAACGGTTGGCCATCGGTGATCGGTCCTGTGGGAGAAATGCTCCGTCCTCTCGAGGACGCGTGGTCAGTGGTCAAACCGCTAAGGCATGCAAAACATAAGAGTACGCCCCCCCCCCCCCGCCCCCCCGCGGGTGCACGTCTGCGACATGGCAGGACCTGAAGGACCTTGATGAGGACAGCCTTCGGTTTCGCGTAGCCCAGCTTGCGACCGAGCTCCAGGAGAGGACGAAGTGGGAGGCCCTCCGGCTTATGGACGGCGTCCAGAAGAAGGAGGCAGAGATCTCAGATAAGGTGTGTGCTTACGCAAGAAGTTTTCCAGCCAGGAGTGGTTCTTGTGGGAGAATGCTGTCTTATTTTTCAGGTTTCGCTCTTGCGGTGTGTACTGTTTCACTCCTACTGTAGCGCGAGGGTGAAACCAAATGGTTTCGCAGTCCAGGAGGGCCTGCACACCTGTCAGTCGTTTGCGTGCCATGGGCTTTGCAACGCGTGCACAACAATTAGCCTAGCTGCCCATGTTGTATGAGTTCAAAAACCTTTCTTTGCATGGCCATCTCAACTTTCTTTCCTGCTTTCGATCACTCGGCAGTTCGCTCCTAGACTTTTTTCGGGCCATTTGCAAAATAGTGTTTCTGAACTCCCCCCTCCTCATGCACATCGAAGACGCCCCTTGCACATACGCCGCTGAGCCCCCGGTACTCATTGCCCCGTTCCCCGGCCTTTTCGCAGTACGAAGCCCTTTTGTCCGAGCAGAAAGAGAGGTATGACGGGGAGACCGCAAGGGCCCTCAGAGAACAGGAGAAGGAGCTCTCGGCACAATTCGTGGAGAAGTACGGGGCCGAGCTGAGGGTCCACCTCGAGCACCAGGTGTGTGTGGAGCACGGGCAACAACAAATGTCGCCTTTGTCCTTTTCATGCCAGCCTGGCCTTCTGTACACCACGACGCCGTCACCGCAACCGTGGAGAATACATCTCACCTGACCGGCTGGCATGAACCGATCGGGCCCGCGCACGCCACCCGCGGCGTCGAGTGTATCTTTGCTACCATGTTGTAACCATGGTGGCGATTTTCGTCCCTATCGCGGCGGTCGAGTTTCACCGTCGGTTACATTCCACACGATTGAGGCATCATATCGACCTGCCCTCGGTACAGGTCGGGTGCGTATCCTCCCCACCACCGCAAACGGCAACAGCAACAGCAGCAACAATGACAACCACACCGCCCATGCGGGGATGAAGTGGCCACCCCGTCTATGCTAGTGATGCGATGTGATACTGGAACCAATCTCCGAAGGCAGCATGTGGAGGGCCACCCGAACCAACCCCAACATGCCGGTGATGCAACTTCGTACGTACCCGTTCGCAACAGGCGAATGAGTTTAAAGAAGCGCTGCACGCCAACGCTGTCGCCGGAAGGGAGGCCCTAGAGCAGGAGCTCGAGAGGAGGCACGCCGACGTGGTGAGCGCTGCAACATGTTTTTTTTGGAACAGTTCGCGTCTGTTGTAAAGACAGATGCCAGCGAACCTGAGAAATTCGCTCTTCACTGAACGCAGAAAAAAATGAACGCCTGGCCGTAGGCATTGGTGGTTCACGCAAGGCACGGCATTGGCCCCCACAAGACACATGGCATAGCATTGCGCTCCACAACGCTATATGGCACACGGCGGCCCGATACGACAGGTGGCCGAGCTGAAGGCGCAGGATCTCGATAGGTCGGAGAAGGTGGTGGCGGAGCTGAGGGAGCTGAGCCACAAGGCCGAGAGCAAGATTATGGAGGTGGAGGCTGCCCGCAACGCCGAAGAGGTATTTATCTACTACTTGAGTGCACGTTTTCGAGCCTAACTAGCGCTCTCAGCAGGTACCCTTATTTTTCTCGACTTGCGAGTGCACGAGTTGGAGCTTCGAGCTCTCCGCATGATGTTGGGTGAGCACGCTTTCGAGCCTAGCACTCTCACATGCCCTCACGGTTTTCGCTCGAATGCTTTTGTACCGCTATCTTTCCTCGCACATGAGGGTCATTTTCGAATCGGTAGATGTCGACCTTTTTCCACGCCGTATCTGCCCTCGTGCTTACCAGTGGGCGCATGGAATGGAGGTGAAGTATGCACGGAAACCCGTTACTCCACCGTGCGTGGGGGTGTACGTTGAGACACTACTCGACCTGGCTTTATCGGCGGTGTTCTCAATTCTTTGTCTTCCGGAATTTTTTGTTTAGGCAACAAAAGTACGGCCGCTAGATTGTAACAGCTATGGCGACAGACGGTCGAGGCAGCCCGTCATGATCGCCGAAGGAGAACCCAAGATAAAACACCAGTGAGCACGTCACCCGCGCAGCAACCACAGATAATCCCTTTTAAAGAATGTTGCTGGGATTTTTTATTTATGCAAGAGTTCGGAGGAATGTGCACCCCCCCCCCTCTTTCCACAACGCGTTGCTCCGTCCCAACCCCGTTTCACGCCCTTCCCTTGTTGACATTGCTCGCGGCTGTTACCACCATTGCTGCTTGCAAGGCGGAGAGACTCGCCAGCGAGAAGGTACACCGCGTCACGCACGCCACCCTCTCCCTCACAGAGCGGTTCACGAGCTCGGCTCCAATCAAGAAGGAGTTGGATAACCTGCGGCGACTGGCGGGCGGGGACCCTCTGCTGGAGGCCGCGGCGGAGTCCATCCCCGCGGACGCGGCGGCGAGGGGGATCCCGACGGTGTCGCAGCTCAAGCAAAGGCATGTTTTTGGTGCAGATAGCCGACCCGTAGACGGCTGTTCGAGGGAAGCACGCGTGGCCTCGATCTGCGATCCGATCTGGGCTGTGGTGACGTTTTTTGTTGCGCATCTCTGATGGTACCCTGACCCGCCGAGGCGAAAGGGAAACACGCGTGGCTCCTCTTCGATTTGACCCGTGCTCTTAACGTAGACGAGCCCGTGCAAGTGGAGCACGCGTGGCTCCGTTCTTGGATCGGTCTGGGCTTTCATGGCGTATTTTTTGGGGGGGGGCATCTGATGGCACCCCGCCCGTTCAAGGCAAGCACGCGGGCGTCCGTTCTTCGATCCGACCCGGGCTTTCGTGGCGCGCTACTTATTTTTTTTGTACGCATCGTACGGCGTATTCCCCCCTTTTCGAAGCAGGCGGAGGGAGGTGTAATGTCGTGGTGCACCCCAAGCTTCTTTCATCCACCGGGCCAATTTTTGCTTGCACCAAAGTGTGGAACACGCGGCAGTGTTTTGAACGAACGATCACAGGCGGAGGGCGAGTCTCGCGCTGGCAGGCAATCTTGTGGGCCCCACGTTCGTTCCCGCTGGTGCATTGCAGTGCAGATCCTCTCTCCAAGGTTCACCTTCGCGAGGTAGTAAATTATGAACACTATCCCTCAACCCACACCCGCAACCCCTACTTAAACCAATCTTGAAAATGTATCCTCGCAAAGGCTACTGCTTTCCAAGGCACGATGGGGCATATGTACCCTGTCACCCGTACATGACCCCCCCCCCCCCGGCCTTTTTTTTTTTCGCGTGACATTGTTGCGACGCAGGTTCGGCATCGTGAAGGCGGAGTGCCGCCGCGCCGCCCTGGTACCGCAGCAGGCCGGAAACGGGATGATGGGGCACCTGGTCGCCTCGGCTCTGGCCAAGATCACGTTCGCGCCTAAGGGCATGGTGGAGGGGGACGAGGCGGAAGCAGTGCTGGCCAGGGCCGACCACCTGCTCGAGGTGATTTTTTAATTGTTTAACGTATTATTTTCGAAGTGTTGTCTGTTCGGGAGGGCCATCATGTACCCGTGAATTATTTGTTTATTGTTTTCCCATCGGTTGACTGCCCCGTCTCCCGCAGTATCAGCGTGCCCAATGGCGTTTCGTCTCCAACTGAGGAGCTCTGCATGATGGTTGCTATCCTGCTGGATGTATCGGTTTTTGCCAACCGGAACGTGGAATACCGCTGCTCTTGACTTCATTTTTCGGAGACGGACGCTTGCTTCGTGGGTGGAGGCTGTGATCGTTGTCGGAGATGTGACGTAAAATTCCGGAGGGTTTTGGCCTTAAAAAGGATTTGGCCGACTGTTGCCACCAGAGCCTTCCTGTCGTCTGCTCCGATGTCTTTCTTTGGTGCTGGACACAAACGCCCCGGGGACTACTTGAACGCATAACTGTTGTTTCGTGTGTCCGCAGACCAATCAGTACGGACAGAGGGAGGTTCTGGATATAGAGAAATCGGAACGTTCTTTGGTGTGAAGGCAACAACAACAACAACTTTTTGTTTTTCGCGCGTGTTGCTTCTTCGAAGGCTGGAGAGCTGCAGTCGGCCGTCGGCGAGCTGGAGAAGCTGCACGGGCTGCCTGCGGACGTGGCGATGGACTGGCTCAAGGACGCCAAGACGCGCCTCACCGCTGATGAGGTGAGACAAATGCGTGCGTCTGGCGTTTGGCGTTGTTGTGGCTGAAACGATCAAGGCAGTCATAAGCTTAACACGGGATGGGTGTCTAGTGTTGAGTGTGTTTTTGATTGAAATTATCAAGGCAGTCAGGAGCTCTCATCTTTGGGGAATTGCTCGCTGTATGGCGTTTTCCCTGTGGGGCAGGATTGGCTGACCTGCGCCGCCAGTCGGGCTTGTCACCGTCGGCGAGGACCGACTGTTCCTGTTGAACCGTGTGTTGTTCCTTGTTTTGTCGCGTCTGCTCCGAGCTTGAGCTTTTCCCATGAATGCAGGGCCCTCCCCTCGCCCCTTCATACCGTCCGCCAACGTTTTTCTCAGAGTCTGACCCTTTGCCATCACCGCCACCACCCTTGCTGCCCACGTTTGCCAATCGCGTGAACGAACTCTGCAGGCCCTCAGGGTTATCCGGTGCCACGCCGCCATCCTCAACGCCGAGCATCTCAAGGCTTTGGATGGAAAGGCGTGAATTTGTGTTTGGATTGAGTGCAGCTTGTTTCCTGCTGCCGGGAGGCTTCTGGCCCAGCCGGGAGATGGAAGGGGATACGTGAAGTGTTTCGCAGTTTCAGATGATGCGAGGGGCGGGGACTTTGTTGCGAAGCCGTTGAACGGTTATGCAACTGACTGTGGCGTGCTCCAGGCAGCTACATAGCGTTTTGTTGGGATATGCTTGCAAATATGCATTGACAAGTTTCACGTGTCTGACGGACACACGAACGTCAAACGTGCTACCGATCTGAAAGAGATTCGCGGGAACCACGATATTTTTGGGGACAATACAGACAGCCATGAAGCGAGGGGTGTCGGACCTTTCACTCCTGTTCTCCTTGGAGAGGGGTCCAAGCTGTAGGTTTTTCCACTGCGTGCGTTTTTTCGGTGCGACATTCCAGGCGCAGTTGGTGTACTTTGGCGGTACCCAAATGTAGCTATGCGTCAGGCGACATCTACAAATCTTGGACGTTTATGAAGCTACCTGAGACGTCACCGTGCTCGAGCGCTTTAGAGTCCCATGGCTTGGTTCATTCCCCTTGTAATCGCCGCACCCCTCCGAGCTCGTAGTACTTGGGACCGTGCATGGAAGTCGTTTCGCGTTCCACAGAAAGATGCATGCATTGAACGAAAGCATGCTTCCAACAAACCTACACTGCCATCGTCAAAGATCATACCGTGGCATGGTAGTTCCCTCACAGGGTGGATTCAGGTGGTTGCCTAGCTTGGTGGCTTGTACCCACGCGACATGCTACGACGTGGAGGTCCCGGTACAAGACAAATCTAATGATCATGGGCGGAAGAGTTATGCAGTTCCCCCATGCTGCGCATATCGCAAAGTATTGGTGTTGATGGTCAGCGAATTGACCCCCACCTCGATGGCCAGGCATCGTCACACGATATCGCACAACCGCACTCCGAGAGTAGCATGTGCTTTTTTTCATGTATTTCGATTCACTCGGTGGAACACATATTCACATATTGATTGGGTGGTACACTGGTTCGGCAGTGAGACGAATTCTTTTTACACTCCGCAACAACGCAATGCAACAACCACAGAATGAACAACTTCGTTTATTTGTATGTACACACATGCACACACACCATATATATCCTCTCTGAAGCACGGGCAAAACCCTGTGTATGTTCTGTCTCTTTTTCTTGCCGGGCGTCACGATGAGACAATCCGCGAAAATTGAAAAAGGTTGTTGTCTTCGCATAAAAAACCGTTCAGATCTCCCTCTACCCAGTACCTTCACGTCTAGCCTATGTCCGTACTGATCCACCACTTAACGCGGTCGATTCCCGTGGTCACAGGCGAACTTACCCTAAAAAGAAAGGTACACTCAAATAAACTGGCCCCGAGGGGTCCGCAAGTCAATCGAAATCAACGACAGATATCCTGGAGTCCTCCGCTCCTTCTGCGCGCTATGCGATGTCTTAGGATTAGAAGTTGAGGCGGAACAGAATAGAGAATGGTTCGTGAGAGCCATACTCGGGGAAGTTACAACTCCCCGTTCCGGGAAGTTGTAACTCCCCGCGGTAGCATAAACCAGGGCACATATTATCCTGTCCCCTCTTGGCTGCAGCTTGTTCGGAGCCCCATCGTCTCAGTTCCTATCCAACCGCGAGTCATCAGCTACTGCTGCTGCCTTGCAAGAGTTACTAACAAGTGATTTCTCTTCATCGGCTCTTCCAGTTATCACAGCGCGTGCATACTTTAACACTTGGCGTGTCGGCTTCATCGTTCCGCGTGCTGCTGGGCTGATCTAAGTTTTTTAGCTGGCCTCGCCCAGCCTTTCGTTTGTTGCTACAACAACAGCAGTCAGCTTTGCTTTTGTCTCGCCTTCGATATGTCTCAATCTAGGGTCGGCTCTTCGGACTGTGCCTCTGCAAGTCCTGAGCGTTCAGAGCACTCAAGCTTGCCTGTGTCTTTGCATAATGACGGTGTTGCTCACGACCTACCCGCAGTAGCTCAGCAGCAGACCTCCACTGGATGCGCTTGTGATCTTGATCCGCTTGCTGGTGCCTCCGGTTCGCCACACCACCCTCATTTTAGCCACACACGCCACGCCTGGAATCCGCCTCGACGGGTTCGGCCGACGCTAACCTCGTGGGTGCTGTCCTCAAACCGCCGTCACCCACACAAAGAAACCTCGCTTCCTGCACAGGAAACCTCGCTTTCCACTTTGGTACCTTCGGGTTCTCCCCGGCAGCGTGTAGATCAGCAGCCTCTGGTTTTCCCGCGTAATGATATGCTGGTTTCCCTTTCCCTGCTGATATAACATGGTTGTTGAGCCTTCTGCTCTCGAGCCAGCCGCCGGTTCCGACCGTAGTGCGGGCCCTGTGGTGTCGCGTGCCTCGTCTCGCGGTACTGCGTCTGCCCGTTCTCTGTACAGTAGGTGTCCCGGTATAGTGCCGGTATGTGTCCAAGGCGATTTGACCGGCACTAGTCTGTACCGGGCACCGGCACTTTTCAGCATTGTGCCTGAATAGTGCCAAACCGACACTGTTCAGGGCCTGGAATCCCTCTGTAGTGCCGGCTTGGCACTATTCAGGACTGTTCGACTTCAGAGTACAGCGATTGCGTTTGCGGGGCTGACAGAGTACCAAATGAACGGTATTTGGATCAATCGTGAGGTGCGTGACGTGGGCGGGCTTCATTATCAGTTTCGTGAGGCTGTTGGACTGACGAAAACACGGCTGCCGGCATTGGTCATATTTGCCCAGATAGATTTGTTGCACAGCAGATTTGTTGCACAGCAGTTGTTCTCTTCCCACCTCAGCGCAAGCACTCGCTAGTGAAACGTTGCTGCTGCCTTTCAACCGTAGACCGTGCTGCCCGATAATAGTTCACCTCGCTTTCAAATTATTATGTGTTGTATTGCAAGAAGGCCGTGGCACTATTCAGGCAACCTCAAAGGCACCCCTCGACAGCGAAAGAAGGACGCTCATGCATGCACCCGATGTACATTTGGAGGTAAAACATGGATGGATGTATGTAGTGCTCCGTACATGAGCACACAAAAGCAGATGCAACCGAAAAAGGGGTGAAGGAGATAAAAGATCTCCCCGGTTCCTTCGATAAAAAGCTAGAGAGAAGACCAAGCCTTCAGAAGCAAGACAAACGACTGGCCAACCAAAAGGCGTCAGTCTCAGCGCGGTCAAAAACAGAAAATATTGTTTCTCAACGCCGTGAGAGGGTGACACGGAAGAGGTTGGAGCTATTCTCTGGATAAACGACAGAAGACATGGTAGCAACCGAGAGAGACTACGTGACTGCCAAGGCTTTCTACTTTGAACACGCGTTCGTTTCGAAGTGTTGTCATCCTTCCTTAGAAGTTTTTTATTTACCGCCACCACTACTACTACACTCTTCACAAATATTTTTCCTCTATTTTTCGGGCTTTCATCTCTTCTACATCCTGCGCCCCTGCGGCGTTTAAGTTAGTCGTGAGGAAGGTCATCTGGCTCGAAACTCTTGTTGTTGTTCCCCTCAACGCCATATTTTCCTCCTGCATCATCACTGCTATCCTTGGCTATATTTTCTATATCCTTCGTCACTACTACCACCACCATCTTCCTGTTCGCTCGCCTCACTACTGAAATCCCAGCCTATTGGTGGAACCTAGTCGATCGGTAAACCGTGATATTTTGAGACGTAATGCGTGCGTACAGAGAGAAACCTAGCTACGTGTAGCTCGAAGAGAAACCGTCTCCGAATCCTGTTGGCGTGGAAGGCTTGAGGCGGAAGCCGAAAAAAGGTTGTATGCAAGGAAGGGGCTCTCCATCTGGAGGAAACATCGGAATACCCCCCCTGGGCTATGCTGCAATTCATTTTGGTCGCGGGGAGGAGAAAGGGCCTAATATGTCCCCGGGCGGGAATATTTTGACAATATCCCCGGGGTTTCGACACTTTCAGGCGCTTCTTCAGCGCGCGCGCGGGACCCAACACGGAGCTAGTGGAAATGATGGAAACACCCTATGAAACGCGTCAAACTTGGTCGCGAGGTCTGGTGTATGGTGTAGGAAATAGTATGACCACACGAAGCCTACAAATGAAAGGAATTTTATGGGTTTTAGAATGCGGCACGAAAGTCTATTCTGTGAAGAGTATATCAGCTTTACTATGGACACACTAAATCCTATACAAAAGACTGCTGCAAGCGTGCCGCCTAAACCCCCTCTATTGCGCTGCAGCAATCTTGGCCAGGGGGGGGGGGGGACTGGTGTTTCACGGTTTCCACATCGAAGGGCCCCTTGCTGCATGTGGGGTGTGAACCGGCACTGTTGAGAGGTTCGATAGTGCCTGAACCGGCACTATTGAGAGCATCGGTTTAGCACTTTTCAGGCCTGTGTCTTTTTATTATTAGCATCGACCGCGCTAACCGGCCGACCAATGAAAATACGTCAGTCTTAGTGCGGTTGAAAACACAAAACACTTCTATCTACCATAAACAAACTGGGACCCCGTGAGGGGGCAGCATGGGGTAGGTAGGCTAAACTATCCTTCGGATCAAAAACAGAAACAGCAACAACAGAAGAAAACTGCACCCGTCTACCAAGGCTATTACCTAGTACTCGAGTTCGTTTAGGAGTACTTTCACCAGTATCCTCCTTGTTTTCGCTGTGGTCCGTTCGGGCAAATATTCAAAATATCTTCCCCTGCACAAAGCTGCACTTTTCTCGGGGTGGGGGTACTTATTCCGAAATCTGAAAATACCGCGTAAATCGACGTTTGTTTCAAGGCGCATCTTCGTACGGAGATTTTGTTTTTTTTTCGTCCTTCGCTCGATATGTTCAGATATTCAAGAAATCTTGCTTACTTTCTGGAGGGCGGTGTTTTTTGCATACACAAAATCTGAGACCGGATTTGGACAGCTCTCGTGATTTGCCACCGATGATTTTTTTCCGATTTCCAATTTGACAAAAAATAACGGAGTTATGGGCAAAAAACCGGATATTGGAGGGTATTTTGCTTAGTTTCTAGGGGACAATCCAACCGTACGATTCAAAAATAAAGTGCTGCAATCGATTTCTCACGTGATTTCCCACCGATGATTTTTTTTCGATTTTAAAAAAAAACTCGGGTTTCGGAGATATTTCGGGTGGTTTCACACGCCCTCGGGGAATTTTTTCCCGCCACACACACACCAGAGGACACACACACACACACCCTTTACGCACGCAACGAAAGACGCACACGCGCTCCGGGCACATGGGTCGCCCAAAGGGTAAGCGCAAGCTGCCAAGGAACGCCGACGGCACGATTCGGAAGGTCCCTTCGCCCCCTGCGGACCCTGCTGTAGGCAACGACTCTCCTCCCTCTTCCGACCATGAAGGCGCCAATATTTCTCCCATGCACACCAACGACCACGACGACGACTGGCCCCACCGCCGTTCTCATCGGCCTGCCGAAAGGAGGAAAGCAGCTGCTCATGGAGATGGGGCTGTGGGAAGGCGAGCCAACCCTACGCGTTCACGAGTGCAGCGCGTGCAGGGCGGAAAAGGCGGCAACAAGGCAAGCCATTACCGCCTTCAACCGCGGTGGAGAGGGGCGGCAGCAGGTGGTGGACAACACGGGGCAGGGAGAGCCGGACGGCAGAGAGG